ATGCTGTAAAAGGAGGGGAGACATATTAACACATGACAGTATGACTGAAATGTTAAAGTGTTTAAAAAAAAAAAGAAAGAAAACACGTTTATTCTGTGGCACTTAAAAAATAATATTGTGTCACCTAATTTTGTTGCTTATAGGAGCCATTGGCTCCTTAAAGGAGTAGTTCACTTCCAGAACAAAAATGTACAGATAATGTGCTCACCCCCTTGTCATTCAGGATGTTCATGTCTTTCTTTCTTTCTTCAGTCGTAAAGAAATTGTTTTTTGAGGAAAACATTTTGGGATTTCTCTCCATATAATGGACTTCTATGGTGCCCCCGAGTTTGAACTTCCAAAATGCAGTTTAAATGCAGCTTCAAAGGGCTCTAAATGATCCCAGCCGAGGAAGAAGTGTCTAATCTAGCAAAACGATCGGTCTAATCTAGTAGAACGATGTTCTAAAAAAATGTACAATTTATATACTTTTTTTAACCTCAAACGCTCGTCTTGTCTAGCTCTGCGTGAGTTAGGGTAGGTCTAAAAACTCCCATCTAATTTTCTCCAACTTCAAAATCGTCTTACATCGCTGCAGAAGTACCAACCCAGTGTTTACAAAGTGAACATGCAAAGAAAGTCAAATGCCCTTAACAAAAAAAGGTGAAACAACGATGCCGGACAATTTTGAAGTTGGAGGAGAAAATTAGCCTTTTGAACCGCAGCACACAGACGAAAAGCTAACTGCGCGTGACCTTTCAAACGTGATTGTCATGTGTGAATTTGAATCGCAGAGCTAGTGCAAGACGTGCATTTGTGGTTAAAAATTATATACATTTTTATTTTCTTTAGAGAATGACCGATGGTTTTACTAGATAAGACCCTTATTCCTCGGCTGGGATCGTGTAGACCCTTTGAAGCTGCATTGAAACCGCAGTTTGGACCTTCAGCCCATTGGTCCCCATTTAAGTCCATTATATGGAGAAAGATCCTGGAATGATTTCCTCAAAAACCTTAATTTCTGTGCGACTGAAGACAGAAAGACATGAACATCTTGGATGACATGGGGGTGAGTAAATTATCAGGAAATTTTTATTCTGGAAGTGAACTAATCCTTTAACACAAAAGTAGATATTTTGAAGAATGTTGGTAACCAAACAGTGGCTGGTAGCCATTGGAAAACATTGTTAATAAAATTAAAAGACGTCAATGGCTACCAGCAAAAGACGTCAATGGCTACCAGAAACTGTTTGGGGACCATCATTTGTCAGAATATCTTCTTTTGTGTTCAACAGAAAAAAGAAATTCATACAGGTTTGGAACAACTTGAGGGTGAGTAATTGGTGACAGATTTTTCATTTTTGGGTGATTTATTTCAAATGTGTTTTGCTTTGCCTCACATACATTTATTTATTTTTTGTTCTGGAAGTAGAGATTATACTGTTTTTGCCAACACTTCACACATAGATTTTTTTCTCCTCCTGGCTTTCAAGCTGCCACACGGACGCTGATCCATCACTGTTCAGATTCGATTTACTTGAATTCCCCTTTTCTCTGTTTCTGCTTTCATAACGCACACAAACAGCAAAGGTATCTTGATCGCCAATCTTACAATTTCAAGGTTTGCTTGGATCAGACTGTTATTTGGTGAGGGTCCATGAGTGAGCAACTCTCCAGAGGCCACAAATGCTGCACATTAATGTAATTCTTAACTCTGCAGACACCTGTTGAAAAGCATTTGCTTCAGTGTAGTGACGCACATTTGCTAATTTTTCAAATCGTGTATACGTTAATTAATTGCACTGGGCCTTGTTCGTTGGTAGTTGTGTGTGTGAGGGACGTGAAATGCTGTAAACTGCGAAAATGAAGTCTCAAAATCCAAATGAACCGAACA